GACTGGTCTGTAATTCTGTTTCTTGGTTGTGTCTTTGTGTGGTTTTGGTATCAGGGTAACTGTACCTTCATAAAAAGAGTTTAGCAATGATTCTTCTGTTTCTATATTGTGAAATACATTAAGAAGTATAGGTATTAGCTCTTCCTGGAAGTTCTGGTAGAATTCTGCATTGAAACCATCTGGTCCTGGACTTTTTTGGTAGAGAGATTTTTGATAACAGCTTCTAATTATTCATGACTGACAGGTCTAATTAGATTGTTCACCTGGTCTTGGTTCAACTTTGGTATATGGTACTTATCTAAAAAATGTCCATTTCTTTTACATTTTCCAACTTTGTGGCATATAAATTTTCGTAGTAAGATCTAATGATTCTCTGAATTTCCTGTGTCTGTGGTTATATCCCCCTTTTCATTTCTGATCTTATTGAGTGTTCTCTCTCTGCCGTTTGATTAATTTGGATAGGGGTTTGTCAATCTTGTTGATTTTCTCCAAGAACCAGCTTTTTGATACATTGATTCTTTGGATTGTTTTCTGTGTTTCTATTTTGTTGATTTCAGCCCTCAGTTTGATTATTTCCAGTCTTCTAGACCTCCTGGGTGAATCAGCTTCTTTTTTTCCAGAGCTTTCAAGTGTGCTGTTAAGTCTCCAATGTGTGCTTTCTCTGTTTTCTTTAACTGGGCACTTAGTGCTATGAACTTTCCTCTTAGCACTGCTTTCATAGTGTCCCATAGGTTTGAGTATGTTGTGTCTTTATTTTCATTAAATTCAAGGAGGACTTTAATTTCTTTCTTTATTTCTTCCTTGATCCAGGGGTGATTCAGTAGTTGACTGTTCAACTTCCATGAGTTTGTTGGCTTCCTGGGGGTAGCACTGTTGTTGAATTCTAACTTTAATCCATGGTGGCCTGACAAGACACAGGTGGTTACTAATGCTTTTTGGATCTGTGGAAGTTTGCTTTGTTACTGAGTATGTGGTCAATTTTTGAGAAGGTTACATGAGCTGCAGAGAAGAAGGTATATTCTTTCCTTCTTGGGTGGAATGTTCTATAGATGTCTGTTATATCTATTTGATTCAATACCTCCAATAATTCTCTTATTTCTCTGCTAGGTTTCTGTCTGATTGACCTGTCCATTGATGAGAGAGGTGTGTTGAAGTCTCCTACTCTATTAGTGTCTGTGGATTGATGACTGCCTTGAGTTCTAGAAGTGTTTCTTTTACATAAGTGAGTGCTTTTATATTAGGGGCATAGATATTCAGGATTGAGACTTCCTCCTGATGAATTGCTCCTGTTATGAGTATAAAATGTCCGTCTCCATCTCTTCTGATTGATTTTAGTTTGAAGTCAATTTCGTTGGAAATTAGAATGGCCACACCTGCTTGTTTCTTAGGTCCGTTTGCATGAAAAACCCTTTCCCAACCCTTTACTCTGAGTAGATGTCTCTCTTTGTGGTTGAGGTGTGTTTCTTGTAAACAGCAGAATGTTGGATGCTGTTTTCGTATCCAGTCTCTTAGTCTGTGCCTTTTTATAGGTGAATTGAGTCCATTAATATTGAGTGATATTAATGACCAGTGGTTGTTGACTCCTGTTATTATTATTTTTTGTTTGTTTGTTTAATAGAGTTTGTATGTGTCTCTTCTTTGAGTTAAGCTCGTGAAGGGTCGCTAGATGTCTGAGTTATTGTAGGCAGTGTTGGCAATGTTGGATTCCTTGGGTTGCGATTTTCCTTCTATTACTTTCTGTAAGGCTGGGTTTGTGGCTACGAATTGTTTAAATTTGTTCTTACCCTGGAATATTTTGTTTTCTCCATTGATAGTGAATGATATCTTGCCTGGGTATAGTAGTCTGGGTTTGCATCCATGGTCTCTTAGTTTCTGCAGTACCTCTATCCAGGACCTTCTGACTTTCATGGTTTCCATAGAGAAGTCCGGTGTAAGTCTGATAGGTTTACCTTTATAAGTTACTTGCCCTTTTTCCTTTGCAGCTCTTAATATTCTTTCTTTAATCTGTATGTTTTAAGTTTTGATTATTATATGGCGAGGGGATGTTTTCTTTTGATCAAGCCTATTCGGTGTTCTGTGTGCTTTTTGAACCTTCGTAGGAATATCATTCTTTAGGTTGGGAAAGTTTTCTTCTATAATTTTGTTGAATATATTTTCTGGGCCTTTGATCTGCAGTTCTTCTCCTTCTTCAATCCCTATTATTCTTAGATTTGGTTTTTTTTATTTTGTCCCAGATTTCTTGAAGGTTTTGTGATGAGAATTTGTTGGATTTGCTGTTTTCTTTGAAAAGAGCATTTATTTTCTCTATGGTATCTTCAGACTCTGAAATTCATTCTTCCATCTCTTGTATCCTATTGGTTATGCTTGATTCTGTAGTCTCCATTTGTTTACCTAGATTTTCCATATCCAGCCGGCCCTTGTTTTGTGTTTTCTTCATTGCCTCCATTTCAGTTTTCAATTCTTGAACTGTTTCCATTACTTTTTTGATTGTTTATTCTTGGTTTCCCAGTGTATCATTCACGGATTTACTCATTTCTTTGAACTTTTTGTTATACTTCTCATCCATTTCTTTATTTATTTCTTCAATCTTTTTGTTGTACTTCTCATTCAGTTCTTTAAGTTAGTTATTCATATCTTGTTTAAGGGACTCTATTGCTTTCATAATGGCACTTTTTTCCACTTCTTCTGAATTAAGAGTTTCAAGTCCTTCTATTGTAGGGTCGTTGGGATCTGGTGATTTCATGTTGTTTTTTAGATTGTTGGAGGAGTTCTTGCTTGGCATCTGCCCATCTCTTCCTTCAAATGCTCTATATTGGATCTTCTGGTTCCAGGTCAGGTTCCCTTGTTGGGCAGGGACTTCACTGACAGAAGGTCTACCTTTCCTCAGGTAGTCTATTGTAACACAGGCCCTCTCTCCTCCCGGGTTGCTCTCTCAGCCCCGGCCCAGCACGCAAGGGAGCTGCTCTGGGGAGATCTTGTGGCCCCAGGGAGAAGGGGGGAAGAGAGGAAGGTGTACCTGGATGAAGGCTGGGATGGGATTAGGGAGAGCTCCGCAGGGTGGAGCCACCTCTGCAGGGTGACCAGAAAGTCGAGGGGGCAGGGAAAGTCTGAATTCCTCCTAGCCAAAGCCCTCGGGCCAGGAGCAAACTCACCCCTCCTCCAATGGATGTCTGCTAGAAGTTCACTATCTCTTGCTGGCCAGGAATGTGGCTGAGCTGACACAGGGCTTGCCTGTCCTCAGGCAGGCTATCAAAGCACAGGAACTGCCCCTGCCGGACTGAGCCCACAGCCCAAGCCCAGCGTGCAAGGGAGCAGCTCTGGGGAGATCTTGTGGCCACAGGGGGAAGGAGGGAAGAGAGGAAGGTGTACCTGGATGAAGGCTGGGATGGGATTCGGGGGAGCTCCACAGGGTGGAGCCACCACTGCAGTGTGACCAGAAAGTCGAGGGGGGCGGAGAAAGTCTGAATTCCTCCTAGTCAAAGCCTTTGGGCCAGGAGCAAACTCACCCCTACTCCAATTTTTGTCTGCTAGAAGTTCACTGTCTCTTGCTGGCCAGGAATTTGGCTGAGCTGACACAGGGCTTGCCTGTCCTCAGGCAGGCTATCAAAGCACAGGAACTGCCCCTGCTGGGCTGAGCCCACAGCCCAGGCCCAGCGTGCAAGGGAGCAGCTCTTGGGAGATCTTGTGGCCCCAGGGGGAAGGGGGGAAGAGAGGAAGGTGTACCTGGATGCAGGCTGGGATGGGATTCGGGAGAGCTCCCAAAATATCTTGCATGAAACTTTGATGACTATTGTAATTGTTAACAAAAAAAATATGATTCTGAAGAAACGAATATTTTAAACATTGAAGAATAAAACATGGGGGCTTTCTGAGAAGCCATTGATAATTGCACTGGGACTTGTTTCGTCAGCATGGACTGGCTTTTTGGGATCCAGTCTGTTTGGATGCTCACCTTCCTAGACCTGGAGGGAGGGGGAAGGAACTTGAACTTCCCACAGGGCAGGAAACCCTGACAGCTCTTAGGACTGGAGAGGGAGGAGGAGAGGGAGTGGGGGAGTGGGGGGTTATTGGGAGGAGGGAAGGAAGTGGAAATTTTTATAAATTAATAATAATAATAATAATAAAAGAAAAGAAGAAGGAGAAGAAGAAGAAGAAGAAGAAGAAGAAAAAGAAGAAGAAGAAGAAAAAGAAGAAGAAGAAGAAGAAGAAGAAGAAGAAGAAGAAGAAGAAGAAGAAGAAGAA